ATTTTTATCTTTATCACAGAGGTCTGCTTGCCTCTGCCTCCCCTCCCAAGTGCTGGAATTAAAGGCCTGTACCACCATGCCCAGTTTCTACATGACTTTTTTTTTTAATTATCTTTATTTATGTGTATTTTATTTATGTATATTTATTTCTCTGTATGTGAACTGTGTGGATACGGTGTCCATGGAAGCCAGGAGTTAGGTACTGGATCCCCTGGAACTGGAGTTATAGTGGTCGTGAGCCACCTGATGAGGTCGCTGGGACAGAGTACAAGTCTTCTACAAGAGCAGCAAGGGTTCTTAACCTCTCAGTCATCTCTCGAGCCCCTATTTGTGACTTTTTAAATGATCTTCTCTTTTATAAATACTTCCGGCTAGACAGCACTTGGGAGGCAGAGGCAGGTGGATCTCTAAATTCAAGGCTAGCCTGGTCTACAAACTGAGTTCCAGGACAGCCAGGCTGCACAGAGAAACCCTGTCTTGGAAAAGAAAGGAGGGAGGGAGGGGGAAGGAAGGGAGGGAAGAAGGAAGAAAAGCGACAGACGACAGGCTGACTTCCTAATGAGATGGGATGTCTGAGATTTGCTTCCACATTACTTGGAGAAGTGCCAGGAGGCACTGGTTAAACGGCGTTGCTCACAGGCTGGGGACTGAAGCCGAAGAGAGGTTTCTTCTCATTCAGCGTATTCTCTGCCTGCTTTTGTGTGTACTCAACATTACCCATGGTAAGAAGTTTTAAAATATCTAGGTATGGTGGTGCACACCTTTAGTCCCAGCACTCATGCAGATCTCTTTAAGTTTGAAGCCAGCTTGGTCTGCATAGTGAGTTCCATGGCAGCCAGGACTGCATGCTGAGATCCTGTCTCAAAAAACTGTTTTGGGGCCTGGCAGTGGTGGCGCACACCTTTACTCCCAGCACTCAGGAGGCAGAAGAAGGCGGATCTCTTGTGAGTTCAAGGCCAGCCTGGTTCCAGGACAGTTACACAGAGAAACCCTGTCTTGAAAACAGCATTCATTATATATTCTTAATTGGAGATATCTCAGAGCCAAAAGCAACCACAAAAGAAAATCTTAAGAACTGGAGAGATGGCTCAGTGGTTAAGAGCACTGCCTGCTCTTCCAAAGGTTCTGAGTTCAATTCCCAGCAACCACATGGTGGCTCATAACCATCTGTAGTGAGGTCTGGTGCCCTCTTCTGACCTTCAGGCATACACACAGACAGAATATTATATACATAATAAATAAATAAATACATATTTAAAAAGAAAAGAAAATCTTAAATTGGAGCCAGTGAGATGACTGGGCAGGCAAGGGTGCCTACCACCAAGCTCGACGACCTGGGTTGGCTCTCTGGGACCCACAAGACAGGGAAGAACTGACTTCTGCAGGCTGTCCTCTGGCTTCCACGTGCTCACTATGACATCAGGTGGGCACTTTCCCAGACACCGCCTCCCCACACACAAACAAAGTAAAATGTAAGGAGACATTTTTAAAAAGCGTTTTAACTTTGGCAGTGTTATCTGTGGCAATAATACTATGATCGCCGTGCTATTTCTTTGAAAATAAGCCCTGACCCCGACGGACACGACCTAAAAACAATGGGCACGCAAGGAGAATCCTACCCTAAGACCAGAGAACCGTGGAGGAGTGTCGGAGTACACACCTAGGGCAGGAAGTGACACGGATGACCACCTTGTCATCCACCAGAAACAAGGAAAAAGCAAAGGCCACTGGAGTCATAAAAGGACACAGGAAACACGGGGCAGCAGAAGCGTCAATGAGAACACCACCTCCAGGTGGCACCACGGCACACCTGGAGGCAGAGGTGGGTTTAATCTGTGAGTTCCTACACAGATTAAAGATGTACATCAGCCTTTAATTTTATTACTGGAAGAAACACATCAAGTGAGTACAGAGGATCAAAAAGTTGAAAATCATGCCAGGTGCAATTTTATCCTTTATCCCCAGCACTTGGGAGGCAGAGGCAGGTGGATCTCTATGAGTTCAAGGCGAGCCCGTTTTAGAGAGTGAGTTCCCGGACAGCCGAGGCTACACAGAGACCTTGTCTTAAATAACAAAGAAGCTTCACTAAAAATTGAAAATTATGGGCAGGGTGTGGTAGTAAATACTTGTAATTCCAGTGTTGGGAGGCTGAGGCAGGAGAGTTGAGACAATAAGGGTAGGCTAGGCTTCAGAGTGAGTTCCATGTCAGCCTGGGATACAAAGTGATATCCTGTCTCAAAAAGCCACACACACTGCCAGGCGGTGGTGGCGCACGCCTTTAATCCCAGCACTCGGGAGGCAGAGGCAGGCAGATCTCTGTGAGTTCGAGACCAGCCTGGTCTACAAGAGCTAGTTCCAGGACAGGCTCCAAAACCACAGAGAAACCCTGTCTCGAAAAACCAAAAAAAAAAAAAAAGCCACACACACACACAAATACGAAAAGAAATAAAAAGGAAAGAAAAGGACAAGGCTGCTCCTAGGTACGGTGAAGAAAGTTTATTGTAGATACGCGGGAGAGCATAGCCAGAGGCAGGGACATCTGGGAGAGTCCAGAGCGGACATGACCAGACTGAGCTGGCAAAGGGGAAGGATAGGGAGAGAGGAGAAAGTAGAGAGGGGTACCAAAAGGGAAGAGTAACCACAATGTCCCCTGGGCTGCAGAGTTCAGGGTACAGGGTGTGCAAGTCATACCCTATAACAGGTAGTGACTGAAGGATGCTGAGGGAACCAGACAGCCAGGGCCAGCTTTGGTGTGTTAAATAGGCACCTCAGCTGTGGTTTGAAACTTCTCTCTCCTTCCCCCCATTCTCTTACACACACACACACACACACACACACACACACACACACACACACACGGGAGGAACAAAAGATTGAATGAAAGTAGAAAGATAGAGACAGCCAGACACGGAGAGAGGCAGAAGTGTGTAATTTTACATCTAATGAAATGAGATCCAGGCAATGATCACCAATGGCCTAGATGCAAGGTTGGTGGGAAAGTCTATCAGATAGATCAGCTGACACCACCCATCCACTAATCAATATTAACAGAAAAAAAAAAACCCAACAACAACAAAAAAACTGGGGCAGCAAGGCACTGTATACCTATGAAGGATGCTACAGGAAGGACGCACCCGTGATGGTGATAATGGACTAAACCTCTGAACCTGTAAGCCAGCCCCGAAATAAACCCCAACTCTAACCAAGTCTCTCTATCTTATTATTAGCAGCTTATGGGGGTGGAGAAGAGCATTAAGGCTTGGGGTATAGCTCAGGAATAGAGCATTTGCCCTGAATGCCCAAGGCTCTGGGTTCAATTCCCAGCACCACAAAAAAAAAAAAAAAGGGTCATTTTAAGTTTAAGCACCACCAAAGGAACAGCCAGCACAAGGGAATGTGGACAGTACTTCAGGAAAAGCTCACTGATCTTAAATAAATGGCAATTTAAAAAGAGGTGACACTCAGGAACGTAGTAAACAAGATAAAGCAACTAAAGGTAATGCATATAAACTGAGGCCTTATTCAAACTAACTGCCTTGGTCAGTGTTCTCTTGCTGTGAAGACACCATGACCACAGCAACTCTTACAAAGGAAAGCACTTAATGGGGCTGGCTTACAGGTTCAGAGGTTTAGTCCATTATCACCATCTCGGGAAGCAGGGCGGCACGCAGACCAACATGGTGCTGGAGAAGCTGAGAGTTCTACATCCAGATTCCCAGGCAGCAGGAAGAGAGCAACACCAGGCCTGGCTTGAGCTTCTGAAACCTCAAGCCCCCACCCCACTCCCTCGCCCTGGCACCCCCAGTGAGACAATTCCACCAACAAGGCAGACAAGCAGCTGAAGGGCCTATTCAACACATCAAAGCTGGGCCTGGCTGCCAGGTTCTCCCAGCATCCTTCAGCCTACAGGGGATGCATGAGCTGAATACTTAGCAATTATTCTATACTTCACTGGATAACATGGCATTATGGTCAAGTGGTTAAACAGTCTATTTTTAAATTGTGTGTGCGTACATGTGTGCGGGGGTGTCTGCAGAGGCGGGAAGTGTTTGGCCTCCTAGAGCTGGAGTTTCAGGAGCTTGTGCACGCTGGGGAATGGGAGTATGATTCTCTGCAAGAGCAGTGAGGGGCCACTGAGCAATCTCTCCGGCTGAAGTCCTATTTCTTAGCGCTACCTACCCAAGGTTTACAGGTGAACACAATGGTCTGGCATATGACTTTTAAAAATAACCCCTGGAGAGGAGCTGAAACAAACTGCGTGGTCTGAGTTGTTGAAGCTGGGCTCTGGTTATACCAACATACCCCTCGGGACTGTTTGGCAAGTCTCAGAATTAACTTAAATAATACGGAGAACATTTACTTGGATTTTATTATTATGTGTACCACATGTGTATGTCTGTGTAGAGGGGAAGTCTGAGGGGTGTCAGATCCCCCGGAACTGGAGTTACAGGCAGTTTTAGGTGATAGAGGTGCTGGGAATTTTACTCGGGTTCTCTGCAAGAACAGTATGTGCTCTTAACCACCGAGTCATCTCTTCTTCTCCAGCCCCATAGAAAACATTTTCAGAAGTCACATGGGCCCTTTTGTGGGTATTAATGTACTGACCACTCTAGAGTGTCGGGGCAGGAAGGCCACTCAGGATTGGAGCGTTCAGGGAGAAAGCAAGGCAGGAAGGACTGAATTTGACCAGAGCTGGAGAGAAGAATGTGATGTAAAAAGGGGGTCGTCGCTGCACCCTACTGCTGAAATCCGGCCTCCATGTGCCAGCTACACTCTAGCGTCCTGGGAATGCTCCATCTTCTGTGACCCTTTTGAGAAAGAAAAGTGTACCTTGACGCACTTAAAAGACTTCTCTATCCCAGTCACTTGGGTGATGGTCTATGGCGCCATCTGCTGTCTACAAATGGAACTGAAGCTGCCAAAGCTGAGTCCCCAGGAACCAAATCAGGCTGATTTTAGCATGGACCCTTCTCAGCCAGAAAAGACAAACACGCACCAAGTAAACATATAAGAAGCTTTTAATTTCATCACCATAAACATTATACTCTGATTTCTCACATACAGTATAAAATATTTACTCTGCTAAATAAATAAGACACAACATTATTGCAATCAGCACTGAAATCCACCCCCTAGACGAGAGCTCCTTGGCTCTGGCAGGGAGTAACTCCTGAGTTTGTGTGAGATTCCCCAGGCTGTGACAGATACGCCCCCGAGGCTGCGACGGGCAGAGGCCTTAGGAACCACACTTGTGCTTCGGGTTCATAAAGTCCCACATAGAGGTCATGGAGCCAGTGGACAGAGTTGGAAGGGCAATTGCTTCATGGGTTCAGTCCTATAGGGGGGAAGTGGGGGAGTCAGGGAGCCAAGCTGGGGCGAGAGAAAAGTGGGACTTGGCATGTTGTGAAGAGCCTGGGCCCCATTCCACTTTCCCTCAACTCGAGTGGGGACATCTCATGGCTCTCAGTCAGGGTGAAGAGGACTGCCCAAGGTACTGGGCTAGGCAGTTTGGGGGACCGTATCTACCACCCTAGAAGAGGAGTCTGGCAGAATCGGCTATTTTAGGGGAGCCAATCCTTGGGGAGCCCATCCTACTCAACTCCTAGGCACACAAAATGGGAATGAATTTTACTTCTAATGTGTTAAATAAATAAATTAAATATTTAAAGGCCTGTGCCTCCTTGATGGCAACACAAGGGCCAACGATAGGGCCAACAAGCTGAGCCATTTCCCGGAACAGGTGGGGTGGGAGACTCAGCAGAAAAGCGGTGCTGTGGACCGTGGGGTCTCATCATGCCTCTTAGGGCTCCTCCTTCCTCCTTCCATCCTGTCGAACCCTATGGAGGAAAGGCCCATGCACGAGCAACGGGGGCAGAACCTGGACAAGAGACTTAAGAGGGAAGTTCATCCAGGTCCCCAAAAACTTCCGTGGTGACTCAAGCAGGAGGTTAACTCTGAGCCTTGGTAATGCACCGGTACAAACCCGCACTTGCATCCCTGCGGAACTTCAGCCAGGCACCCAGTGGGCCGGCTTCTATCTGTGCAACTACACACCACAGCCTTCGGGGGGCAGCAGAGAGCTACACCACTTAGGCAACAAGAGACCTGGAGAGGCCAGCTTAGCAGCCCTCTAGGCGGAGACTCCTGAGGCAGACCCTTCCTCGATGCCTCACAGCATCTACACAGAGTATTTGGACAAGTCATTCTTGTCAAACACTACCTGTGTAGCGAAGTAAATGGCGACCAGACCCAAGCCTGCGGCTGACACCATATAGGCGGTGACAGAGTGGCTCAGCTGGACAATGGAGCCCATCAACAGGGACGGAGCCACCTGGGACAGCAGGAACGCACTGTCCAGGATGGCGAGGTCCAGGCAAATGCCCCGTCCAGTCACAACCTTGGCCTCGGGTGGCTCACCCACCACCACTCGCATGGAGACATCGCAAGCAGAGGCCCCGCAGAGCGCAGGTGGAGGCACCAGGATGCTGCCGCTGCTGCCGGAGTTCACATGTCCATTGGGGAAGGGAGCTCCTGGCTTAGGGCCTGACAAGAAGCTGGTTGTCTGGCTGTCCTCACTGTTACCACCACCTCCAGCGTCCCCTCGGTATTTGGGCAGGAACACCTGAGGGTGGGGGGCAAAAAGGAAACAAAGACAGGTGTGTATCCAGGTGCAGGGATCCCCAGATAAGAGGAGAGTTCCTCACTGCCTCTGACTCAGGGGCTCTAAGAAACCAGGCAATTGGCCTTCAAAAAAAAAAAAAATCAGAAAACTGGGAAGACTCTACTTGCTGTGGATCTAAACAGAAACCCGGAATTGGAAGCCTGAAGTCTACTCTAGCTTTTCTTAGAATAGATTAGAATAGATAAGAAGCCAACAAACTCAGATCTGCAGGTTGAGAGAGGCACAGAACTCTCTAGAAAAGACAGAAAGAATGGGACAGACAGAAGCAAGACACAGAACAGAGAAACAAAACCCAAAGGAGGCACTCCAAAAGTCCCCAGTCCCACACAGGCTACCTCGACCCCCTGTACACCCCTTCTTCTACTGGGCCACAGGAAGTCTTCACTGTCTTTGTCTCTCCTCTAGGGTCCAGGCTCTGGCTGGAGATACTGCCCAAGGTGAGGTCATCACTGTCCTGGCCTTTGACCAAAGAGAGCCCAGAAATTGGGCCTGCGGAAGAGAGAGGCAGCAGGAAGGCCATTATAGTGACCTCCACAACCCAGCTGCCTGACCCCACTAACCCTAGGCCCCGATGGCCTGGGGCCTCCTACTGCAGGACAAGACGAGGCCTTATCCCACACTGGTCTTCGTGCCAGGCAGAGTCGAGCACGGAAGCCTGACGGGGCTGCCTGCACCAGAGAACTGGGAGCTGGTGGCCAAGGCTGGGGAGGCTCACGACTCATCAACCCATCCCCTAGCTCAGAGAGTGGTAAAGGACAGACAGACAGACAGGATGCAGGACCAAGCCTGTCTGCAGCTGCTGCTGGAGTCAGGCCTCTACAGACCCTGTCCTCAAGCCTGGTCTTTGGACAGCAGCTTTTCTGTTTTTGTTTGTTTGAGACAGGGTTTCTCTATGTAGCTTTGGTGCCTGTCCTGGAACTAGCTCTGTACACCAGGCTGGCCTCAAACTCACAGAGAGCTCACCTGCCTCTGCCTCTAGATAGCTGGAATTAAAAGCACCACCACCCAGCAGATAGCAGCTTTTAGAGCCCAGCCCAGAGCTCCAAGAGAGCCAATAGAAGCCCAAGGGACCAGGTTTCCATTCCCAGCCCACCTCTCCACGCCTCTGCAAATTACTGTGATGCAAACTGGCTGTGGCCAGGGCCGTGTACTTCCTAACTCTGAAAACTACGAGGGAGGCCTGTAGTCTCTCCCCTAAGCTACACCAACATGTGCTCCTTAGGGTAGAGTTCTGAATCCAGGTCTTTAAACTCAGTGAGGACAGGGCAGGGGTCAAGATGAGCATGCTGTTTAGGTCAGGAGACCTCCCACAGACGGAGTCTTCTGCAGGGGCTGGTTAGTGCAGGTCCTCAGTTTATTGCTTAGGCAAACAAAGTCAGTATATCAGGATCAGGTATGTATGCGCTGAGGGGACTGAGAGAGGGGATGGAGGCAAAGGGGGAAACAGGAGAGGTGGGGGGTGGGCGACAGAGACACAGGGAGGATTAGAAGGGAAACCAGAAAGAAGGGCAAGAAGCCTTCTCCGTCTTGCAGCAAGCAAGATACAGATTGATCAAATTCCTCTCTGAAAGAATAGCTAAGGCCAGGCTATTCCCGTGCCATCTGCTGCAGCCACACGCCAGGGACCCATGCCCTACCTCTGGATACAGCCCGGAGTAGAGGGCTTCCGTTGCTTATTCTCCAGGACTCCCAGCGACGGACTCTGCACTTCCTGCCATCATCCACTCAAGTGCTCTCTAGTTCTAAAGCCAGGAAGTCATTCCTAGACTCTAATCTACACTTCTTGGGCAGCTGGAGCCTCTGGTCCCAGCTGTCCTCTCTGGTCAGGGAAAGCCAAGCCTCTTCTAACATCTCTGGTCAGACACCCCATTCAGAACAGCTCAGCCCGCCCCACCCTGTGCCTGGCCAATGGGAATACCTGTTTCTCGCGATGGTAGAGGGAGGCCAGCGTGTAAGGCAGGATCTGCAAGGCCGAGAAGGTGAAGCCGGTGAGGGCAGCTGAGGCTGTTACTACGACCACGCTGTGCGACAGGCAGGTGGCACCAGCAGCCAGAGGAAAGGTCATCACACTAGCCAGATAGACTGCCCGGGTGCCAAACCGCTGTACCAGCCTGTCCATGACCAGGGAGAAGAAGAGGGAGATGGCGCACTGCAGGAAGAGCCCCAGGCTGCCCATTCGGATGCCTGGGGGTAGGGAAAAAGTGGGGTAAGGACCCTACAAAGTCTGGGAGAGCCAGAGACTAGTGGCCATGGGCACCTGCTGCCCAGGGCCCTCCCCGCCTGCTCACAACAATGGGATCTAGATTGTGGCCAGAGCTGTCAGATACACTAAGGAAAATACACTAAGGAAGAGGTACAAGCTGTGTAAAGGAGAAGGGCTGAGGAGCACAAGATGGCCCCACACTGGTTCTAAGACAGCTCTGTGGAATGCCTGAAGTAGAAGGCATGGGGAGTTCCTGGGAAAGTAAGCAGGGAGCAGAAGGCCCGGTGGAAATGGAGCCATACAGACTTAGATGCCCTGCTGAGAGACCACAGGATAGCGGCCTCATTCATGAGCACATAGATGAATCCTTTTTCTTTCACTGACAGGGAGCTGGGGCCCAGGGTATTGTCACCAGGCAGGGCAGCACCCACAGCAGCCTCCCCTGGTGCCAAAGGCTTACCTTCATCATAGTGTCTCCGGGCCTCAGTGCCTGGCTCGGCTCTGGGTATGCCCTGGTACAGCCCCTCTCCCACAAAGTCTGTGTAGAATAGTGTGAAAGTCATGAGTGCCATCCAGCTGCACAGCTCCGCCACGAAGAGCCGGCGCAGGGTGCGAGGCATGCGGCAGCACAGCTGGTGCAGCCGGGGAAACAGGGCGCCCAGATTCCGGAAAGCCAGGCCCACACTGCACGGGCAGCGGCGGCGGGGTGCCGCGGAGGGGACCAACAGCCCTTCTGCTGGCTCGGGTGGGCCCAGGACTGCCTCCTCGGCCACAAACAGAGTGGCTGCCATGCAGGCGAGAAAGATGAGGCTGAGGAGGCCAAAGAGGCATTCTTCCTGAGTGCCCAGGTAGGGGGCCAGGGCACTGGTGTCCCAGTCAATGGCAGGTAAGAGGTAGCCCAGGCAGCCCCCGAGGCTGATCATGAAGGCATAGACAGAGAAGGCTTGACGGCAGTGGTCTGGGTCCCGGAAGAGGTCGGAGAGTAAGGCCTCCAGCGGAGTGAAACACACCTGGCCGCAGAAGTCCAGCAGCCCCACTCCCAAGATCAGCAGGGCCAACTCCAGGGGCCTGGTATCCGGGCACAGCAGCCCTGCCAGCCAGCCAGCCCTTGGGATGAGAAAGAGGCTTAGCAAGACACCCAGGGACAGAGCCCAGATGAAGGGCCTCCGGCGGCCATAGCGCCCACGCCACTGGTCACTGGCTGAGCCGAGGAGTGGAACAGAGACCAGGCCCAGCACTGGGCCAATGCCTGCAAGGACAAACAGCACAAATCAGTGGTCGGGACAAGAGGGACAAGGGGGAAAAGCTCTAGCTCTTTGGCATGACAACATGTCATACTGTGGCAAGACCCCACACTCAGCATGGCAGGGACTCTGCTCTTCTCAGTATGGTGTATCATAGACACCGTGTTTTCAGGTGAGGAAACTGAGAGACAATGACACGGGTCTGCTGCGGGTTAGAAGCAGGGTTTCAACAACAGCAGAACCCAGAGCCTGCACCTCTGCATCCTCACAAGGCATTCTTGCAGGAGGGAAGCCACAAGAGTAACCACCTCTTGTCTGTGGCTCTTGCCAAGCTTGTTCACACCATCAGAAGCCCACTCCACCTGTCCTGTGCCCGGGGAGGAGAATCCTGACTGGGAAACCATGGTGAAGTCCCAATCCTACCGAGCAAGACACACCAGCCAGGCTAAAGAAGACAGACCTAGTCTCCCCTAAGCTTCCCTTTCCTTCTGTGTAAAGTGGATTGTCCCCAAGGGCTGGTGTGAATGGGAACAGGTAATGCCCCCACCTCCTCCCAGGCAGATCTGCTGCCGAGGGTCCAGAAGTATGTACTAGAACAGACGGCAAGGAGGGGGAGAGACTCACCCAACACCATGGTCATGAACTTCTCCTCTACCCCTACTTCCAGCAGAAGGGGTGGCACATAGGTAATGCCAGCAGCCAGACACACCTCCAGGCCAAAGGTCAGCAGGTTGACCAGCAGGAGCTGGGCTTTCCGATGCCGTAGCAGGCGGCTGGCCCACAGCCTCTGGATCATGATGGACAGGGCAGTTAGGGCTTCAGGGGCTGTTCATATACTCCACAGCTGCTTTGGCTCAGCCCTGCCATGGCGTCTCCTCGCTACCACCAACTTCCTAGGGTTCAGCCGGACTCCCATTTCCGTCAGCCCTTTGGTATCAGTGAAGTATTTCATCCCACGCTAAACACATGACATCACTCAGTGCCTTGATGGGGACACATCTCATCAGTCAGATCCTAGAAGGGCAAGACAGTCACAGTCACGTGAAATGTTGGGACCTGGGCACCAGATCTCCGGCGTTTGCTTCACATTCTCTGAAGCATACTCTGCCTTTGCAGGCCAGTGAGGTAGCCCTACGCTCGGCTGCCCCCGACCCAGCCACTCTGTCAAGAAAGCCATGTTAATCTTAGTCTAGCATTGATAGAAGAGAAAATGACAATTGACCGTCGGCACGCCAAGGCCAAGCAGATGTCATTTCCTCTCTTCTGAAGCATCTCCATAATTACCCTTTTTGGAGAAACTCAGGACTGGCTCCCAAGGTAGTGCTGGACACCCTCTGCCAGACCCAACTCATTTGCTTTTCTCTCCAACTTCCCAGGATGGGGCCACTCAATTCTTGTTCCAAGTGACAGTTCTGGAGCCGAGGGGTGGCTCAGTCGAGCGTCTACTGTGCAAGCAAGAGGCACTGAGTTGAGATTCCCAGCAGATTCTTAGCTGGTCACGGTAATGCATATCTGTAACCCTCAGGCTGGGAGGTAGAAACAGGACGATCCCGGGGTCATCCAGATGAGCCGGTGACCCCCAGCTCCAGTGAAGACCTGGTCCCAGAAAATAACTCGGAGAGCAATAGGAGAGGACATTTGATTATCAATCTCTGGCCTTTGCACACACCGATACACATGCATATGAACACATACCACACACACACACAAATACTTCCAGGCGAGGGCGGGGATGGAGGCTCAGTTGGCAAAGTGCCTGATACAAAAACATAAAGATCTAAATTCCGATCTCCAGCATCATCTAAGAGCCAGTGTGGCCTCACTCGGCTACAGTCCCAGTGCTGGGGCGGAGCCTGGCAGGCGGCTCTAACTCATCGGCCAGCCAGCCTAGCCAATTGGTGAGCTCCAAGTTCAGTGACCAATCCTGCCTCAAAAAAATAAAGCGTCAAGGAAGACATCCACTACCTAACCTCTGGCCTCCACTCACACAAACAAGAACACACAGCACACACATAATTATGCTCGTGTAACCTGTTAAAAAGCAAAACAATAAAGTGGCACTTCCTCTTCTCTACCCGAGGCTGAGCCATGCATGTTACATTGTAACCCCCACGCCTCAGGCCAGAGACATGAGGGAAGAAAGGGGACAGTTCCTCACATGGGGTTTCAACCTGTTACTGAGATGCTGAGTTCCTCTTGGAGCCCAAGGATCTCTTGAGTTTTCCCGTGAGTTATTGTTCCCAAGAGGTGGGGGACAGTACAATCCATACATGACTGCCCATCTGTCCCAACGAGCTGGGACCACTCCTTAACCCCAGCCTCACAGCACAGGATCCCAGATCTCAGCCCTATGTATTGACTGGTACCATCTGAGATGATGCCGATGAGCCCTGAGCTAGTGGGATGCCATCGCTTCCTGGCTGACCTCTGGCCTCCATTCACACAGTCCCTCCGTAGTTACCGGGTTCACTGGGTAACTGCCAGGTCTTGCTTCCCACAGGCACTACTGCTGCCTGCTATGCAAACTATGAAAGAAGGGCATGGTGGGTAAGCAGTCCTACATACAGTTCCCTCACTTGGAATACTGAAGCAGGAGGATCATCAGTTTGAGGCCAGCCTGAACTACATGGTGAGCCCCAATATTAAAGGAGGGGTTGCATGTAACTAAGAGGTAGAGAAACTGCCTAGCATGTGCAAAGCCTTGGGTTTAACCCTGCAGCCACACACCCATGCACACACACACACACACACACACACACACACTTCTAAAGACTGAAAGGGGAAATTTCAAATCAGCATAAAAATGTACTAAAAGACGGTGGGGGGGGGTTAGGCTCTGGTGAGAAAAGCTAAGAGCCTGCCAACCTGCATTTACCCCAAAAGAGGAACAGGAAACAAAACTTGCCACTACACCCCACCTTTCCACTCCTCACCAATCAACCCTATAAATGTTGCTGAAGAGAGGCTGCTCCTGATGGGAGGGCTGAGGCAGCTGCAGCTCCCTCCACACGTCCCCTCTGCCAACAACCAGCTCCTGATAAAAGACACTCCTTTTTTTCTTCTCCACTAACACCAAGCCCCATGCCCCCACCCCAGGGGACCCTGTGTCAAAAGCTTGTAGTAGGTGCTAAGCTGCACCTCAGAGAGACCAGACACCATCTAGCTGAGGAAGGTCTGTCTACTCCATAGAGGCCCCCTGGGGCTCAGCTGCTGGAAAACCAGGAAATACAGAACTTGAGATAAATCTGGGCACCTGGCAGCTCCCTCCCCAAAGTCCTTACATGTTGGTAAGGGTTTATGAAAGGTTTATGGTAAGGTTTATGAAAGGGCAGCATGAAAAAGGCAGATAAAATACTGACCCACACATTCCTGAAGCGGAAGCAGCGACAGTCATCAGCGTTAGCTGGGCTACTTGGGTTCAACTTGACCCCTGCCCTTTCCCTAGTGATACAGAGGGAAAGTTCCCCAGCCCAGAGGGGCAGGTTCTGGGGTAAAAGACTTCTAGCCATTCTACTTCCCACCCTTGCTCGGCCTGGGAGGGACTGGGCACTCTCCTGGCACTAGGTTTAAGAGACCAGGTCCTCCTTGAGCAAACAGAGACTTTGCCAGACCCAACCTCACCCATAAACCTGCCCTTATTCTCCAAGTCCTGCTTTCTCCATTAGTCAGGCCACTCCACCTGCCTTCCTTCAGGGAAGGCAGTTCTCCCTCAGTCCCCTGGGCACTTCTGGGAGTGGGGAGTTCTTAGGCCACCGGAAAAATAGGAACATAAGCATTCCCCCATCCTCCTGCAGTCCAGGCAGCTTCTGAGCTAGGGTGCTTCTCTGCACCCCACAGAGATCCTCTACCTGGTTGGTATCTGGGGTCCGGGCCAGGGGCTCACACAAATGATTCATGGAAATGAGTGGGGTGTAAGACAGGCAGGCTCCCAGGCCTCAGGCTCCCAGGCCTCTGCGCTTTGGTTGCTGAGTCTGCCCTCCCTCTTTTTATACCTTCTCTGCCCTGGAAGGAGAAACACTCTCAATGGCCCAGAGTCCAGAATTATCCAAGGAATTCTAAGCCCCCAAGAACGCGCCCCCCCCAAAGTCCTACTTTCTTACCTCACTGCCCTACCCTCCTCAACTGCCGCCCTGATAAGGGTCTGCCAACCCCATTGCAGGCCCCCATGCCCTGACTCCAGCTGACAGAATTACCCACAGGGCCCTCTGCCCCGAGTACCACTCTGGCGGCAGCACCAGAGTGTGCTCTCATCAAAGCCATGAAGGGACAGATCACAGTTGCCCCTTTCGATCCGGGCTCCCTCATCCTCCTGGGTTAAGGAACACGGGGAGGGCGACAGGGTCTAACTCTCCCCATTTTCTTCTCGTCAGAGACTTTCAGATTCAGGTGCTTTCCCCACGACTTCTGGAGCGCTTGGTCTGCCAAACAGGAGATCAACCCGCAGAGCCAGCTGCTCACCTGGAGAGGGAGTGGCAGGAAGAGAAAGGCGGAGGAAGGCTGACCAGGTCAGAGGAGGATGGATAAGCATGAGCAGCCTTGCGGGTGCGGATGTTCCTCTCAAGCTTCAGACTCCTCCCTCCTTCTCTGTGGGTCCTCGTGGCCAGACAGCAAAACAGCCAGGAGAAACCACTCGGACCCTTCACGGAGCTTTCTCTAAACCATCCTTCCTCATCCCTATCAGGATCAGAATTAAAGCCTATGAAGGTGGAATGGGGGCATCAGTGAACCTGGACTCTTAACAGTTCTATGAACCTCAAGATGCAGCACCAAGCCCCAGGGCAGGCAACTCTTTGACACACTTCCCAGCAAGACTAGGGACCTGAGAAACGTGTGTGCAAAGGGATGAACAAGTTCAGCAGAGGTGTGGGTTTAAAGGATCGAAAACTAGTCTTCCTCCCAAACACACCTATAACATGCCCAGCCACAAACCCAGTGAGGACCAAGACAGATCCTGCTGGCCCAGAATGCCCCCACTTCACCCCCAGCAGGCAGCCTAGGGAAGCGAAACTGAGTCACAGGAACAAACTTGGCCTGAACTTTGTCCAAAACTCAAAAGACAAGAGTGGAGGCCAGCATAGGAAAGTGACCCAAGTGAGCCCTGTCCTTCACGGCTCCATAGGGGAAGGGCGGATCAGAGGCAACATAAAGAGGCCTTTGAGGGCTTTCAAAGGGGCTCCTGCCACCCCGCACGGCTGAGGTGGCCCAGCGGAGCAGATACCCTCTGCTGACAGAGGCCACAGCCAGCAGAGTCTGGGACAGGCCCCGCCCCGCCACTGTCACACAGAAATTCTATGGCCTCTTTATGCATGCCGGAGTCCCCACACCCCGCCCAGGCACATCAAACAGCCTCGGCCCTCACACTGACCCCGCAGGCTCTGCGACCCTGTGTCCTCCCCTCCACACTCACAAAGAGGGCTGCTTTCTCACAGACGGGGTCCGCTGGAGACTCAGAACACACTTCTCTAGCCGGCACCACAACCCACCGTTCTTCCCGGAGAGAGAAACCTGGTAGGGACTGTCTCGCACCAGGCACAGCCAAAGAAAGGGGTTGAGCATCCCAGTTCAACTTCTCTGGCCCACTCCAGGCAAGGCCAGAGGGAAAGGAGGTGGGGACCCCTGCTCCTCCACAGTGGATGGGATTCAATGCTTTGTTCCACACTGGGCAGCCCCTTGAGGCTGGCAGCAAGAAGATGACCCTCTGGGGTCTGAGTGTTTCCCAGCGCAACACCCCTACTGCCCATACATACCCTTGCCTCAATCCCAGGAGACCAGTGCCCTGAGCCTTGCCTAATAGAATTTGGTACACAGCACTCTAAAGTGCAGCTGCATCCTCATGGTAGCTTCTTCATAAGGAAACTTAGAGACACCTTGAGGCACGGAGCTTGCAGACCTCACGCAGGTGCTGTGGAAATGTCTACCTGGGCTCCTGGGATGGGCTCGCAGCATGGAACCACTAAGTCCCCATACCTCCCAGCCCATCACTCACTGGTCTTTGGCTTTCTGGGACCCGCTATTTCCAAACGGGGAGGGTCTGTTTATCCCTTGCCCCACTCAAGAAAAACTCCACAGTGACTACTCAAGCAACACCACCTCACAGGCATCCGAGGACCCACTCGTAAGGCAGGCTCACTACTCTGAGGGAACCCTAACAAAGAACAAGGACTGGGCAGAGGGAAGGGGGACCCGGCCCCACCCCAGGCAGGTTCCCCAGCTCCTGCCTCCCCCGTGGCTGGGAGGCCAGGGATTTAGAGTTCACCCTGCTGAGCTGCCTTTTCTTCCTTCAGACTAGAAGCCTTCTGCTCAGCAGCTTGTCAGAGAGAGTGAGGGGCTGCAGGCCGGGACACAAAGGGGGATTAGGGAGAAACCTCTGGGCCTGTGGAGTAATCCATCAAACTCTCCCCCGCTGCCAGCTCTGGCCCCTTCCCACTCAGTTCCCCTTCCAGCTGCTGCTGGCCCCCCACCTCCTCCTGCTCCAGAGTCCTGTCACAACCAGGCAGCAAAGAGAATCCCGGGCCCTGGGGGGGCAGCGGGGGCACACCAGAGACACTGGGAAAAGGGCAACGGCTCCCTCCCCCCACTCCCTCGAAATGTGTGAAAACCCAACAGGTGGCAGTGGCTCGGAGGAAAGTGGCCTTTGTTGCGGTGTCTAAGAGCCCAGCGCAGCTTCGGAAGGAAACAAATGCTAGAGCCTGGGGGAAGGGGAGGGGAAGGGGTAACAAGCCATCCCTGGAGGCCGCGCGGATCTCCCCTCCCCTCCCCTCTCCAATCTAGTGACAGGGACTCTGGGGCTGGCCTGAACCTCACCTTGGCCAGCAGTCAGTCCTGGCCAGCCCAGGCTGAGGCTGCAGTACCCTTAGGTCTCCTGGTCGACCCTGGTGACAGTCAGCACACACGTGTGTCTGTTTCCAGGCTTCATTGCTGACAACAGCTGCCACCCACGGTCACACTGTGTGTTTTCCATACCAGAACAAGCAGCAGTCTTCTACCAGAAGGAACCCTCTTCCATCCCTGGGGCTCTCCTGCACCCTGGCAGGTTCCACAGTACCAGCTTTTGGGGGATGCCACTTTCAGCCTGCTTGTAACTTGACCTACTGACCCTTAGTTTCCACATCTATAGCTCTTAATTGCAGTTAGCCCTTGTGACTGCTGGCTACGGCACGCCAGCCCCACTTCCAATCAGTTTACTCCGCCAGCCACTGGGTGATAGGGGTGCAACTAGCATGCCTGTTTCACAGAAGGAACTTCATGCTGCTGACTTCAGGCTGCAGGAATGGCTCAGTGATAGGGTGCTAGCATGCAGAATGTTCCAGAGTTCCAGCCTGAGCACCACGAAGCCAAAATCCTACAAGCCAACAACTTCAAAGCCACGTGAGAAAAAGGCTAAGAAGGGGCCTTCGGTGGAGGGAACCTGGGAGGGGCTTTCTCCTGACCTAACACAGAGGTTGAAAAGATCCATTCTCCTCAGCTTTCCCTCCTCCCCCCCCATCTACAAGGCCTCTCACCAGATCCCAGCAGCCCCCAGTGGCAAGAGGAATGCCAAGAATGTAAACGCCTTCCCAGGTGCTGGCCCCAACAGGTGAGGCGAGGCCAGTGCCACAGATCTGCTGCCGAGGGAAGACTGTCCCATGGTGACCAGACAGTTGTTTCCATCCACAGGACATGGATGACAATAGCTGACCCGACCAACTGCCCAGCGGACATTTAGTACATGCCAGGAGCGTGGTAGATCTCGTAATAAAGGTCTACCACAAAGACTTGCTATTTCATAGTCCTAGTTCCCAAGAAACAAACTTCAGTTTCAGAGAACCTCCAAGGTTGAAAAACTAAAACCAGGAAATCTGCAACCATTCAAAAAAATTCTGGAAGACACTTTGAACTGCGAGCCAGAAAGACGTAGTCCTATTCGGCAGCACTGATAGCTGTGTGACACAGAAAGCCATTTCACCGCCCTAGGACTCGGTTTCCACACGTGTAAAACGAGAGCTAATCTAAGGCCTGCTGTGCACAGTGAGGTGACCTAGCACCTGTCCTGAGTCTCCGCTAGGGTGATCTCATGGGCAGGTGTCCCCTGACAAGGCCACAGGGCATCAGGGAGGGGCTGGTCACAGCCGGTCTCCCATGAGTCAGGGAGATGCAGTGGGGAAGAGCTCCCCAGCAGCACTTACCCCATCAGGCCCCGTGCACACACTGCTCAGATCCCAGCACAAGGCCAAGGTCAGAAGTCACCTGAAATGCAGCCGAGTAAGCAGGGCGCCGGGACAGAACTGCCCTTTTTGCTCCTCTCTCCTGGAGCTGGACTCTGTTCCTGGCAGAAATCAGTAACTAAATTCTTTCTATTCTTGGTCCACAATAAAAGCAGAGTGCCAAAAAGTCCTGAAGTCCTCCACAGAGGAGGAAGAGAACCAAGGGAGTAATGGGGGTCTCGGCACAGTCCCCAGGCCACTCAGAAGTTCCCTCCCACTCTTTCAGAGCCTCTGCAAAGTGAAACTTCAACAGCCTTTCTCTCGGTGAACTTGACACCTGTCCGTCAGCCAGGCCAGCCTGGGCAGCTCTTCCCATGGTGCACACAGCCAATCGGAGTCCTCTCCCTTAGCCTGGCCTCTTTCTAGAGGTGAGGAACGCGAGAAAGAGGCCAGGGCTGAGCAATTTGAGCCAAATTCAGGGCTGAGGAGAGCCCTGGGCAGAGGCTCTGGATGCCCTACCTCCAGGGTCGTAAGTCTGGTGGCCTCTCTCTACCCTGACATACTCAAGTCTGTGATCAGTCTATCTGTAATGAGAAGGACCTGGGGCAGTCAATTCTGTGGAAGTGTAGTCCCAAAGACGAGGAACACACCTGTAATCCTAGCATTAGTGAGGCTGAGACAAGAGGACTATGGATTTGAGGTCAGCCAGGTCTTCATGGTGAATTCTAGGCCAGCCAGGGCTACACAGTGAGATTATGTCTCAAAAACAAAGCAGGCTGATGATCTAGTTCAGTGAAACAGCTTATATAGCTTATAGTTGATCCCAAGTCCAGAAAAAATAGTCAAGCAGGTGAACAAGGTTAAGAACAGATCCCAAAAGAAAACATGAAGAAGCTGGTTTACCCATCCTTGGAGGAAATACACCTCAACGTGCAACCTAAGGACCCCTAAAGAAATGTCGAAGAGAGTGGTTGTAGCATGCACCTTTAATCCCACACTCGGGAGGTAGAGGCAGGCAGATTTTTGTGAGTTCGAAGCCATCCTGGTCTACACAAAGTAGTTCCAGGACAGCGAGGGCTACCCAGAGAAATCTGATGTCGAGGAGAAAAAAAAAAGTGTCTAAGAGCCCTAAAACGTGCCCATCAGTACTCACAGAGCCGAGTTCTTTACCATCCCCCCACACCAGTGAAAGTGATGGAGGCACAGAAATAATTGATTAGAGCTCTACTTAGCAGGAAGTGCGATCCGTGTGCAGGTCAGGCTGTGTAAGAGCTAAGACACAGGCCAGCGAGTAGGGGGCACGGCAGTGTCAAAGTCAAAGCTTCCTGGAGGAAGTGGACCTGTGGCTGAGTCACGAAAGGTAAGCAGGTGCTGCACACAAAGGACACAGAGCCCCTGGAGCCTGGGATTTCCAAACACAGCCAGGCCTCCTCCTGGCCCCTCTCCAGTGAGGTATACAGGAAAGAACATGAGAACCAAAGCCACACCACTGGGTTCTGATCTCAGATCCGGCTCTCAGATCGGTGTATCCTAGATGGTCACACCTCTTTGGGCCCAAGACAGGGGAATTCACTGGCACTTGGCTCGTTTTTGCTTTCAGCTTTTTCCCCTTTCTGAGCAGCCTCTGCCCTTCACCTGAACCCTTTAGCTCAAGTCCTACACCTAATCTTTCAGGACCCCCTGAACCCCAAGATGTCATGTTCTTTCTCTTCCAACTCTTTGCCACAACTAAGGCACGAGGCTGGATTCTGCATTTGCTCCTCAGTCTCTGGTTTGCCCCTTTCCCATGGCACCCACCCTGTGCAAGAAGCAGAGCACAGCCCAGGCACTGGGGGTCCAGAGGACAGACCAAGACAGGAATCTTTTGATTGGATGAGGGAACCCAAGAGTCAGCCAGGGCACTCTCAGGCATCTGGGTGCACAGATCTCCAGCAAGCAACAGGGGCTGAGATTCTACATGGCTATACCCCTAAGAGATGAAGTGCTCCTAGCTTGGATACTATTTGCTAGCTCCAAGTACACTTGAGATTAGATGCTTGGGGGTGCTGAAGGCCCTCTAGGGAGAGGAACTACTGTTGGGGGCTGGCTGGTCCTGAGGGTACCCCATCTGGCTGGCCATTTAGCCTGACCTGGGTTTGATGACCAGTGATAGCGAGGATAGGAGTTTCTTCTGACCTTCATTCTGGCTTGTCCCAGCACCCCAGCGAAAGTGATGTCCAGAGTTTGGGGAAGGCGAACACATTTTTTTGAGTATCTGGTTTACGCAGATTTTGCCAATATATGTCACATCTAATTCCCACCACAGCCTTGCAGGGTGACTAGAACCTCCACCTTACAGAGAAAGCAAGCCAACAGTGTAGGCAGGATGACATCTTCAGCCTCGGAATTAAAAAGGCTCCCCATTCCAGTCCCTCAGCGAAGGAGGAAGAAACACAGACCCTGTAGCAGAAAATGGGATTGATCAGGTAATTCTGGCCAAAGATCAGGCTCTGTCACTGCCTCCCCCTCCCACCCCCACCCCAGGCAACACTCAATACACTAGACAAAGCTCAGTACTCTAGCTCTGCTGCTGGGAGTCAAGTGGCATCAGCATTTGAGACGCTGGGCCTGGCACCAACTGGTCCAGCCTCCACGCACATTGTCCAGCAAGCAGGGCCACTGGCTTTTCATAGGAAGTTAGGACTGCAATCTAACCCGGTGACGGAATGAAAGCCTAGAAAGCTAGGCTGGGCTTTCCTCGTGGATACCAGAGGGTAGCGTGAAAGACCCCAAAGGCTGGAGAGAGAAGACAGACAGAAGCTCTCACTTCAGGGCACCCTCCCCACAGTCTTCCTAAAAGAACATGTAACCTATTCACACACATTCACTCCCTTACCTTGCAGTGCCCTCCTCCAGACTGTGAGTATACTCCTGGGAGGGAGGCAGGCAGTGGTTTCTGCACTAATCATAGAACACGTCAGAAAGTATAGAGGTGTCCACCCAGTCTTGGTTTGTTCGTGGCACCGGACCCAAAACTCAACTGCAAATGTGTTCCTCGTGGCTTATGTATGGTTATATATGGTGACAGCCCCTGGCTAAGAAACCAGTTTCCAAGTTAATCCACCATGATTGCCCGCACACAGCAGCAGCTGACATTTATCTCCAGAAGCAGCCACTCTGCACAGAGCTTTACCTGCAGCCGTCTCCTTAATCCCGAAATCCTGGAGGGCAGGTCCTCCTATGCTTGCTTTGTGGAGGAGAAAGCACAGTCAGGAGCCAGTAACTCCCTCTGGAGGAAATGGGATCTGAGCCACTTGCTAGGGCCAAGTCTTAGCGACTTGAACAAACTTCCCAAACGGACAGGAGTCTAAAGAAGTCTAAAACAGTAGCCTTTTAAAAAAGTAAGTATAAAAAGAGCAGGGCCCAAGTTGGACGTGATGGTATACACCTATAATCCCAGCACTAGAGCGCTCAAGACAGTTGTGAGTTCAAGAGCAGCCTGAGCTCCACAGACACTGTCACAAAAAAAAAAAAAAAAAAAAAAAAAAAAAAAAAAAAAAAAAACAGCAGGGCCCCCAAAGAGTCTCAAACCAGTTGCTGCAGACCACCCAGACACGAGTGATAAATATAACAGTTCAGACTAGCGTGCACTGAGCACTTACTACATTTTCAGACAACAAAATGGGTTTGCTTGTTTTGCTGGGGGGGGGGGTATTGTTATTTTAGTCTCGCGCAATTCAGGCCGTCCTGGAACTCGTGAAGTAGACGAGACCAGCCTTGAACTCCTAATCCTCTTGCTTCTGCTTCCCAAGTGTGCTGAGCTTACAGGTGTAGGCCATCAGGCTGGGCTAAAGACACACAGTTAAATTCTATATATGTTATTTGATGAAGTTATATGTTTAGACTGTGTATCTTTTTAGTGCTATTTGTGTGCTGTAATTAACTTAAATAACAAAGCTGTACAGAGGACGTGGTCATTATCATCATCGTCCCCATTTCGCAGCAAGGCTGAAAAGTTAGCGCAACTAGCAGGCTAGTGGAGCGCAGCCCGGTGGAGCTGAACAGGCGACGGAAAAGCCGCCTCTCCTGGCAGTCTGTGTTCTCACCACCCCCCACCCCCCAGTGCAGTAAGGGGCCACTGGTTCCCACCTGAAGTCAGTCTTACTTCCCGTGACCTTGAACCAGTCATTCCTTCCCCCCCCCCCCACCTTCCGGCTGTTCAGTCCCCACGGCTCTGTTCCAGCTTGGGGACCAGTACCCAGAAGCCTAAAGGGTATAGTGACCACCCAGGGACCTTGTCCAGTTCCTCTTCCAGCTCCTCCAGGGTTACTCAGAGAACCAGGAGGACAGCGGATTTCACGCTCCACCCCAAAAGTGCATAGGAAAGCTCCGCTTGGAAAAAGACCCTAACTGGGGCCCGTGTGTCCAGAGCGGTATCGTTATCTTTAGACTCATCCAGTGAGTCAAGCTCCTTTCTCTGGGCACTTTTAGTACAGTCTTGCTTCCAGGACAGCCCTGGAGCTGGGGCTGGCGGGAGATAAGGGAGGAATGAGGGGATGAAATGGATCCAACAGAAGGGCCGGAGGCTTCAAACATGTCCCTCTTACTCCCTAGGACGTGGAGCTCTGTGAGGTTCTGAGGTTTCCTGTCCAGCATATAGTTCTTGGGCCCTTCCCCTTCCCAGGTCCATATGTCAACCTATTCCCCACGCCTTAGGCACGTGGGCCCACACCGAAGCTGTCATTCTGGGAAAGGAATTGTGCTTCACGCTTAGGAAACAGAGGTCAGAAACTCCAAGAGTCTCACCCTCCCTACTGAGAGAGCCCAGCAAGAGTCATTCTGAACCCTGTGTCTACGCCATGCCCGCCTGCAAGGCCCCAACTGGGCTATTCAAAGTTCAACTTAGCTGGGGTAGGGTCTGCCACAGCTGGCATCAAGTTCTCTCCAAGTACCCACCGGACCAAACTCCTGCTACCTCCAACTCAAGACTCCTGAGGAAAGAGGAAGCACCGGGTAGCCGTGGCCTTGGACGAGTCAAGTGCGTGTCACGAAGGAGTGGGCTGAGTCGTAGGTCAAGGGAGAAAGCAGTCACAGGGCTACCTGGAGGGGTGCGGAGACCAGCAGAGGGCTGAGCCTGCAGGCTCCTGGGGTTTCTTCAACGGGCGTGCTGCCGCCCGCCTAGCGCTCTCTAGAACCGCAGAGTACTCCCCATCCCTACCTGAGCCTTGGGACACAGGAGCTACTGACGGCGCTGCTTTCCCCTCCGCAGAAGAATAACCGAGGCAGAGAGAGGGGGCACAGAATCGCGCGTGTACACATACACTCACCAATCCAGCCTCAACTCCACCAAAGCCTTGCCCCAATTCTACCGCCAAGAAAGTTAAGTCCCCCTTCTGTCCCGAACCACGGCGCCCAGCCGGAGGCCCCTTCTCGGACTCCCCCTAAGTGTGAACTGTGCACGCCGCGGTGACTCATCTGCCCCTTTCGGGCGAAGCCCAGACAAGGGAAGAAATAAACGCAACTTTCCAAAGAAAACTCTGCAGCGGGAGGCTGCAGCAGGGCCGGCCTGGCCCGGGACTCCACGGCCCCGATCCCGCCCTCCGCGCGCGGCCCCGGACAGCAGGCGCCGCAGCTCAGAGCTTTCGGAGGAAGCGCACTCCGCGCGGACGCGAGCGGGCGCCCGCCCTGGGCACCGGGCCGCCAGGAGCCGCGCCCTCCCCACGAGCCTCCTCTCGCGCAGGGCCGGGACGCCACGGCGCGGCCCCATCCCGCGGGAAGCAGAACGCCAACCGCCGAGCGTGGCCACCCGCGCGCTCCTTTCCCACCGGGACCGGCCCCTCCCCTACCTGGCCCGGCGCGCGGCTGTCACCTGGGGCTGGCGCGTGCAAGCTCGGACCCCTGCTTCTCCAACGCGCGCCAGCGGGCGGCTTTTAAATCTCCAGGTTACTCGGTGGGGGGAGAGAGCATGCGCGCTGGGGCTGCCAGGAGGGGGGCGGGGCGAGGCGGGTCGGAGGTGGGGGGTGCTGGGAGGGGATTGAGGGGTGGGGCCGGTCCCCAAGGGAAGAAAGCGGGAGGTGGAAAAGCAGTCTCCTTTCTGGTCGCGGCCGGACGGGCAGCCCCCGCGTGGCTCCTAGACTGCCCTATCATTACCTAGGGCCGTGCACCGCCCCCTCTGCCGCTCGCCACCAAAACATTTTGGTAAAAACTACCCGGCTCCACGGGGTACCTCCCCTCCGCTCGCGAGCCAGTCTGCGACCATTACCCGCGCGTGCCATTCTGGACATCCTGCTGTCCAGGGACAGCCACGACTCGGGTACCCGCCCTGGCCCATGCCTTGAAAGGATCTGTGACATTCTGCGAGATACTCTCCCTGCTCAGAAAGCTAACTCAGTGCCTCCTTCTGCAACTCAAAGACAAACTCCCAATTCTTTTTTTTTTTCTACTGTGATTATGTATACGGAAGGAGAGGTGATAAATTGCCACCCAAATGTTCCCAGTCAATGTTTCTAAAAGTCCCTTGGCTAGCAGGAAGCCAGTGCAGGTGAGAGGCAGATCGCTGCGGTTCTGGCCTGACCTCGGGGTGGAGGACAGGGGCTTTATTGTGTCTCTTTCATCCATGGAATTTTATAAAGAGAGGAGAAATTCATTTAGGCGACTTGTTGATTTCAATACAGGCCAGGGATTTCTGCAGATTTTTGTGGTGCACGAGACTCAACCGATTACAAAATATTAGAGGAAAATGTTACATTGATATGTGTTGTGTGTTAGGCTGAGGATCATTTTGATTGTCTCGGTATGAATATGAATAGACCTTTTTTTCTTGTCATTCTCTGAGCAAGATAGACATAACAAGTTCTTACCTGTGTGAGCATTTATATCATATTAAGTGTGTGTAATCTGTCAACGAGATGAAGTCTTCAGGAAGATGTGTGTAGGTTTGTGTTCAAATACACCATGCTACACCACGAGATCTTGAGATGGATCGGGTATCCATAGGGTCCTGGAACCATCTGCACTACAAAGTCCCAGGAGATGCTTTTGATGGGAAGGACCTGGCTGGCCTTAGGTCGAAACTGGTCTCTGTGGTGCTGGATTGAAGTGCTAGCCTGGTGTTAACCAGCTGTGCACCACGGGGCAAGTCCTTCCCATGTTCTGGGTTCTGTTAGAAGAGGCAGCTAGTCAGCTGATCCTTAAAGGCAACCCCGGGTGGGAGGATGGGGGCAGAATAGAAAGGGAGATACCAAAGGGAGAAGTGGGGTAGTGGGGAAGAGAGTGTGTGTGTACAGGGGCAAGCAGAGGACAATCTGAAAACCATCTGGGCATGGCCTCTCTGGGAGTACATGAGCCTCCATCCCTAGCCGGGACCCTGGCTTTCCAACATTTTTGGCATAGTTATATGTGGCCAGCAGAGAGCCCAGGAGTTCCCTTTGCCCCAGGATAAAGGGCAGGAGTCAGGGGGAATGCTCGGTCAGGTGGTCAGGTGGAAAATTACAGAGCCTGGAAGAATGGACAGTGGTATTTTCCAGGCTTGGGCAAGAACAGCGGGAGCAAGAGTGTTGTCCTACCTCAGAGGACTGGGAGTGCTCTCTCTTGTCTGGGCTTCATTCCTTGCTCCAGGGAAGAGGGGGAAGGGTTCCAGAGAGCGCGGGAACAGCTTGGTAGGAGACCCAGCAGCCTGCCTGCCACCTGAACAACTGCCTGAGACTGTGTTTTCCACAAAGGTGCTTCCTTCCCAAGCCACAAGGAGACTTTAGTGCCTTAGGCCATCCTGCTCTAATATCCCTTCCTCCTTGTGCAGCCTTCTGCCATAATCCTGGGTAACCAGTATGCCAGGAACTGTTTCTGAGTGCTTAAGACTACCTAGGCCACGAATATTACTTAAAGACACTGAAGCAGTTTCTCAGTTTCATTCTTTTCCCCACAACTCCCAGATCACAGTCTGTGGCTGCAGAAGCCCCTCATCTAGCTCTGCCTGTAACTTCGGAGCACAGAGGAAGTGTCACACCTGTGTTCCTCCCCGCCATGCTGAGGCCCTTCTGCACAAATAGCTTCTCTGGGTCTCAGTTCTCCTGTCCCTCCCCCATTGTTCACATGTGCACACACATACTAAAGCCCTACTCCCTAGTCACTTCCCATTTATAGGAAATGGGGGATGATGTGAGGAATAAGGCCATCCTTGGGGACCTGCTAATAGTCTGGCTGGATATTGGAGAAACCAAAGATGCTGGCAAAATGCATTAGCAGATTCTGCCCCACCCCCTCCCCATCTTCTCCCCATTATCCTTGGGCTCAGAGCAGGCAGCCTCCTTTCTAAGAGATAGATGTCTAGCTGAGAGTGGGCTTTGCAGAAGGCCGGGAAGCCAGGAAGGACCCACAGATCCTTTAATGTCTTCTCCCTGTCTGCACAACCCAAAAGCTATGGCCATTTCACCATCTCTTCCTTCTTCTCCTGCCTGCCTCAGGGTGAGAGGCAGCAGTCTCTTGAAATCAGAAGGACCAGCAACAGGGTCAAATCCATGCTGGCATATTGGAAGAAAGAATGGGTCACCTGGACACAGCAGTTCTATTCCTGGGAGTAGCCAGGGATGTGTCTTTCAGAAGCGTGTGTCTCATTATTCTCCAGAGCTGGGGAAAGCTAGAAACAAATCAGTAGAACAAGGCCCTGGTTCAGCAAATTATGGTGAATCCACACAAGGAAAAGCTCTGCTACTATTAAAAATGGTGACAGGCAGGTAGTGGGTGTCTGTAACCACTTCATTCCAGAGGGAAAGCACGAGCATCGTGATTTGAGGCAGCCTGGGCTACAGCAGTGAGATCCATCTCAAAACCCTAAGGAGGAGAAGTACGGCTCAGCGACCAAAGATGTCTTTAGCATGGTCCTGGGTTCCAGGCCAGTCAGAAAAAAAAATCGAATTATGATTGCAATTGGAGAAGGGTTTGTGATGTGTTATCAAGTGAGCGGAGCTGGTAACAAAATAGCATGCACAACAAGTTATAGCTTTGTGTAAAAAATGATGCCTCGGGCTGGAGAGATGGCTCAGAGGTTAAGAGCACTGGCTGTTCTTCCAGAGGTCCTGAGTTCAATTCCCAGCAATCACTTGGGGGCTCACAACCATCTGTAATGAGATCTGGTGCCCTCTTCTGACCTGCAGACAGAACACTGTATACATAATAAATAAATCTTTAAAAAAATTAAAATTATTTTTTTAAAAATGATGTTTCTACTCATATAATAGGATTGAATCTTGAACAAGGGTGTCAACGGAAAGAGTAGACTTGGAATAAAATCTCATTCTTGTAAACAGCACTTCGCTAGTATTAATTTCTCAGTTTTGATTACTGCGCTGTGGAAAGCTGGCCCAACAGTGGACAGGAATTCACTGTTATTTTTGTGATCTAGAACTAGTCCAAGGTTTAAAACATGGTTTTAAAGTGAGAGCCCCAGGACCCTTCTGTCTCTTTGCCTACAAATGCTTTGGGACTACAAGTCATTCTTCCATCATGGGGGTTCTGGGGATCAAACTCAGAGTATTAAGTGTGACAGCAAGTGCCTTTATTCTATAGCCATCTTGCTAGCTCAATATATGTTATTTTTAAATAGCAAAAATGAAATAAAGGAAGGGGAAAGAACGAGAATTGAGTGGTCACGACTGTGGCTGTCTCTGCCACCTGTGCCCAGTGGGCTAGAGGTGGGCAGGCCAGAAACAGGACAGCCACAGTTGAGCAATACTCCTGACAAAGGCTCTATGGTGTGAGGAAGAATCCAGGAGGAACCGTGTGGAAAGGGTGAATAAGGAACAACCTGGAAGATTGCACAGCCGCAGCTGGGCCAGGCCTGCCAGTGCTGAGCATGCCAAGCTCCAGGATGTTCTGGGAGTGAAAGAGTAGGAAATCGAAAGCACTGACAGAACCAGATGGCTCATCTCCCCTCTCCAGCTCAGGGATGCTCGTGGCCTCTGGGTCGTGGGGTCACTGTGCTCCACCCTGACTGCTGTCAGAGGCCAGAGAGCCTCACAGTTGTTGACAAATGAGGTCCTCACCACATAGCTTAGGACACAACAACAGTCCCACTCTTCCAGGCACTTTCTGGGAAAAGCTTCCCTCAGAGAATGTTCTGGAACCCTTTTATGAGGGACTGGTCTCTTGCATTCAGACTTCCTTGTTGAGGCTATTACACGGTACCACTCCTTACTCCCCCACCCCACCCCCACCGCCCCCACCACCCCCACTACTTCCCTGACCGGCCCAGGGAATCTTTGAGAACCAGGTGCCTCTCAGCTGCAGCTTCAACAAGCAGAGGTAAAGTGTAGAGGGTGGGAGCAAGCAATCGTCGTAACAGAACTGGAACACTGAGCCCATTCCTGCTGCAGGAAGCTCTTGGCTTTTGCATGGGCGAAAGCAATATCTAGAAATGGCTTCAGAGAGCAAACTAAGAGCAGAGTTATGGGGAGCCAAGCAGAGCAAGCTTCAAAGAAATAGAGAGGGTTAGAGGGGAGATACACCTAGAGGCAAGGCCCAAATGACTTCAAGTGGGCATTAAGCAAGGTAGGGATGGGGGGGGGGGTGGATGAACTGCTCTCTCTCTCCCTCTCTCCCTCTCTCCCTCTCTCCCTCCCTCCACATGTGTTGCAACTACAGCCTAAGGTGCCTCTTGTATAAGCCTAAGTAGGAGGCTACATTGGGATGTGGTTAGACACCTGATGAAGGTGTCTTAAGTCAAGTCTGTGAGATCAAGGCATATGTAAAGCCGTCTCCTTCCTCATGGAGGAAAGTGAACCCCATACCGTCAGTCATTCACCCAGCTGTGTGACAGCTCCCAATGCCGCGGAGGTGCTGTGTCTTCATGAACACTTGAACACTGAGCGTCCATGAGAGCTCCGGCTGTGTGCGGGGCTACCTTACCTGGGTCAAGAGAATGGGGAAGAGCTAGAGAC